TCCTGTGTTTTCTTTGGTCTGTCTCTCAATCCTTTGAAGATACCTAAAGATAATTCTTTTGAATTCCTTATCAGAGAGTTCCAATGTTGCTTCTTCCTCAGGGATGTGTTCTGTGTCTGTATCCTGTTCCCTTGTTTCTGCACTTTATCCTGCTTTTTTGTGTGGACTGTGATGGTCTGTTGTCTCCGAGGCATCATGACATTGTTGTATTTCGATCTCTGTTAACGGTTTGTGAAGAGTAGCCAAGGGTGATTCAGGCTCTTCTTGGTGTTTTTTTTTTTAATCATTGGCCCATTGGTGGAGAAGGAGTTAGTGGCTCTCACTCAGTAAGTGAAGTTGCAGGAGATGTGGGTGTAGTTGTGTCTTATGGAGACTGTTGTTGTCTCCCACTCAGTTAGACACAAATTAAAATTGAATAACCATAAAAAAATAATAGCATATGGATGAAAAACACACCATGAAATCACACAGGAATAGTAACTGAAAAAAGAAAAAAGGGAAAAAAAGGAGAAAAAACAAGACAACCTGCAATATCTGGGGATAGGGCACTAAGAAAAACAAAAGTAGGGAAGGAGAATAATAAAGAAAAAAATGGGAAATGTGCAAAAAGAAAAATAGGGAATAGGGTTAATCACAAGAAAAAAGAAAAAAAAAAAAAACCTTAAAAAAATAAAAAATTTCAACCAGGCAAAGGGAAAAGAAAAAATGCTGAAAACTAGGGCCTGGTAAGGGAAGAGTAAGAAGATTAAGATTAAGAGAGAGAAAAAAAATCGGTGGAGGACAGGGCAGGGCACCCAGGCTCTGTCTGAACACACAGACTGTGATGGACTTCCTGTGTGCCCAGAAGGTAGGTGAGGGTGGGGGATGGCCACACTTCTCTTCACCAAGTAGGTGTGGGATATAAGAGTAACAAGAGGAATCTTGTACCTTTTCAGTCTTGCAGGTCCTGAGTGTCCTTGGGGTTACTGGAAAGCAGAACGTGTTATTAAGCCCCAGGAATCTACGAGAGCACTGTCTCTTTAAATATCCAAAATAGTCAAGCCACTTTTTAAACCTTCAAAATGGCGGCACCTTCTGGACCGGCAAAAGTCCATAGTTCAGCCCACCTTTCTCTTCACCTTCTCCGTTTGTTCCCCAGCCACCATTCACAGCCCTGCGTGCAGTCCCTGGCTAGCAGGGTGATTTTTAGGTTAATTCTTAGGTCCTACCAGCACTCAGGAATCTCCAAGCTGTCTGTGCCATCAGGATTGCTCAGGATTGCTGCCAGACCACAACTCCGTCCGTCTCCTTTTTTGTATTTTCACTCAAATCCTTCTGCTAGTTGGGGTTTAGTCCACTTCTATATCCTTCCCTTCAAGGCTCAGGGGTCCAAGATTATCTTCTGTGCTTGTGTTAATTGGTTTCCCTTTTCTTTGTTGAAGAGGGTCTGTGCAGTCTTTCTGCCTAGTACGCCATCTTGCTGGAACTCCTCAGATTGCCCAGTCTTGCTTCCAGTGATAGTGATAGTGAGTTGGATAGTGATAGTGATAGGTGAGGTAAAGGAATGGTGATTTGTAGATTAATTAGAAAGCAAGGGGCTTTCAAAGAAGCCAAAAGTGACTTTTTATTTAAAAAGAATGTGAGAGGAGAGAAAAGAAGACAGTGAAATACCGGATGGAGAAAGGGCATCAGGCAAAGAACAGAATTAGGTTTATGTAGTAGTTAAGTTTTTGTGTCAATTTGGCTAGGTCTGGTTGAGTGGCTGGGCAGCCAGATGCAGTACTCCTTATGATGAGACTGGTAATCAACTCCACGGTGCAATCTACTGGGAGCAGCTGAGTAGCTGCCTTTGGGTATGTGGTCTGCTTCCCATATATAAGCAGGAGCTTTGGGAATGGTGTCCAGCCTATGGCATGCTTAGACCCTGCATGTAGCCGTGTCTTTGCTCAGCAGCCTGCCATGCTCTGCCGACCTTGGGACTTATAATGGACTTAAGTTAATGGTCTGCCGTGTGGTTTGATAACATCGGGACTGTGCCTTTTTGCTTGTCAACCTTGGGGCTTTTCAGCCTCAGCAGCCAGCAGCTGTCTGAGTGAAGAAATGCCTCTAGCTCCAGTGGACCAAGAGCAGGAGCCAGAGCTGGACCCCAAGGTTGAGGGGCTTTCACCAAGCCCCTAGAACCTGGCACTTTGAACTTGGACTTAAAGCCTCCAAATTGTGAGAATAAACAAACTCCTGTTTTTTAAGGCCATTCCATTTGTGGTATATTCTTGTCAGAGTGACACGAGGTAACCAGGACAGTTTATTTTTATTATTATTATTTCTCTTCATTAATGCTATGGGGTACATCCACAAACAGAACAACCCAGAAGTCAACCACTCATTTGAGGATGTCTCAGATGACACTCAGACCCAGCAAAAAAGACTTATTTTTTAGCAGGACTTGGATGAAGGACATCATGAAGAACATGATTTTAATAGTCAGAGGAATTTCAACTTCCACATGCATTTCCTGTTAGCTTATCTTCTCTAATAACTTGTGATACATATACTTGTAAAAGTTTTGGGGTGAGACATACTTTTCCAGTTTTTCAGCTAAATTTCAATAAAGGCTTGGGACAGAGCCAAGGAGGTATGGGGCAGAAGGGGGTCAGTGGACAGCATAAAATTAATTAAGGAATTTATGGAACCTGATAAATATGGTGTATTTAGACTTTTCTAACATTTAATTCCATTTTTCTTTGCACCAAACCAAACCAGTTTCTGTCAAGTCAACTTCAACTCATGACAACCCCATGCGTGTCAGAGTAGAACTGTAATCCATTTTCCGAGGCTGATTTTTCTGAACTAGATCACCAGGCCTTTCTTCTTAGACACCTCTGGGTAAACTCAAACTGCCAAACTTCCAGGAAGTAGCTGGGTTCTTAATTGCTTACACCTGTCAGGGACTCCCTTTTTTCCACCGCATGTTCAATAATAAACTAATTAATATTGAATATATAATGTATTATTTTTATTAAAAACTTTTAAACACAATAAACATTTTACCTGTGTTTTTGGTCAAGTATCTTGCTATTGCTAGACTCTGGTGAAGGGTAAGACCATCGACTTCTAAAACAGGAATTTTGCCAAATGGAAGAGCTTAAAATAAAACAAATAAATAATCAACTTCCATAGCAAAGCCAAGAGTTATAATACCTTTGTTAGTAACAGGGCTTTGAACTAGTTTATTCTGGTTTGATACCCCTGCTGAGAATTTGCATTTCCACCCCAAATATACTGAATCGGAATCTACATTTTAACGCCAGACCCTAGGCAATTCTTATTATACTTTAAAAAAATATATATTTTATTTGTTGTCATTTTGAGAATATACACAGTAGAACATATACCAATTCAACAATTTCTAAATGTAAAATTCAGTGACATTGATTATATTCTTCAAGTTGTTCAACCATTCTCACCCTCTGTGATAGTTAAGGTTATGTATCAACTTGGTTGGGCCTGGTTTTGAGTGGCTGGGCAGCTGGTTGTAGTTATTCCCCATGGTAAGAATGGCAATCAACTCCACGGTGGAATCTACTGGAGCAGCTGAGTACCTGTCTTAGTGTGTAGTCTGCTTCCATTTTATAAGGAGAAGCATTGAGGCCTTTTGGCACAGTTGGACCCTGCATGTTGCTGGGTCTTCATTTAGCAGCCTGCCATGTTTGCTGTTGGGAGACAGGACCCAACCTCCCAGGCAGGAAAGGGAGGGAACCGCCAAGGATGACAAAGCAGCAGGATCCGGGTAGGAACTAGGTAAAGGGAGGGTAGAGAGTTTTCCAGCATCTAAAGGAGATGAACTTGTCTGTCACTTTGTCATCCTGTGGTGGTTTGTGTGTTGCTGTGAGGCTTGTGGCTGTGCCACCAGTGTTTCAAAAGCCAGCAGGGTTGCAGATGGTACACAGGTTTCAAGACTAGGAAGAACTGAGACACACTAGGAAGAAAGAAGAGGCCATCCACTTCTCAAAGAATTGGCCAGGGAAAACCTTATGAATAGCAGGGAAACACTGTCTGATACATTACTGGACAACTTTATGAATAGCCTGGAAATGTTGTCCGATACAGCACAGGAAGACAAGCCCCTTAGGTCAGAAGGCACTCAAGGTACGACTGGAAAAGAGTTGCCTCATCAGAGTAGAACCAACCTAATGATATGGGTAAATTAAATCTTTCGGGATGTCCATTTGCTGATGTGGCATGACTCAAACTGAGGAGAAACAGTTGCAAACATCCATTAATAACTGGAACATGGAATGTACAAAATATGAATCTAGGAAAATTGAAAGTTGTCAAAAATGAAATGGAACACATAAAGATTGATATCCTAGGCATTAAAGATCTGAAACGGACAGGTTTTGGCCATTTTGAGTCAGACAACCATATGATCTACTATGCCGGGAATGACAATTTGAAGAGGAATGGTGTGGCATTCATCATTGCAAAGGATGTTTCAAGATCTGTCCTGAAGTACAATGCTGTCAGTGATAGGATAATATCCATATGTCCACAAGGCAGACCAGTTAATAACTGGTAAAATAAGTTTGAATAACTACTGTTATTCAAATTTACGCACCAAAGTCAAAGATGAGGAAATTGAAGATTTTTATCAACTTCTGCAGTCTGAAATTGACCAAACATGGAATCAAGATGTGTTAATTATCACTGATGACTGGAATGCAAAAGTTGGAAACAAAAAAGAACCACTGGTGGTTGTCCCAAATTTCCTATCTAATCTTTTCTGTTGCTGTTGTCAATTTGATCCCATACAGTTCTTAAAAGAGCACAATGCTAGGGTAGACATTGTTTACTAGTTAAGCTAAACTATTATTTTGTTTCAAGAAGACTTCAGGAAATATTTTTGGTTTAAGGTCTAAAGATTATCTTAGGGTAATAGTTTCAGGGGCTCATCTAGCCTCCATGGATCTAGAATATCTGGATTCCATGAGAATTAGAAATCCCATTGTGCATTTTCTCCCTTTTGATCAGGGTTCTTCTACAGAATCTTAGATCAAAACATTCAATAATGGTAGCCAGGCACCATCCAGTTCTTCTGCTCTCATGGCAAAGGAAGGAATTGTTCATGGAGAATATTAGGCTATGAAATTCTTGAATATTTATTCTGAAAGTCTCATTAGTCACCATCTAGTAGAAACTTTCTATTTTCTAAGTTTTGAAAGAGAAATTGCTCAAAGATTTGCTATAGAATTAGAAATAGTGACAGAACCGGGTCTACAGCCAGGTTTCTAGTGATATTGTTGTTGTTGTTATGTGCCGTCGAGTTGGACCTGACTCATAGCAACCCCTCCTTGGGGTATCACTACAGAAGTAGATTGCCCCATCTTCCTTCTGAGTCTAGTGATATAGCATATTCTATATTAGCTACATGTTACATGATATATTATTTCATATACTTACTTTTTAACTTAAAAAACAGGCTTTCTAAGTTTCATTAATTTTTTTGTGACCTAATTCTCAGACTATAATAATTATTCTTCAAAATCATAGTTTGATGAATATCGATAGTTTGATTTACATACTGAGTTATAGTGAAGTGTTTAATCAATATCTTATTTTGATGCAGGACTACTTGAATTATACAGTAAGGTGCTGTCTTATTTATCTAGGGCTGCTGTAATAGAAATTCTACAAGTGGATGGCTTTAACAAACAGAAATTTACTTTCTCACAGTTCAGGAGGCTAGAAGTTTGAATTCAGGGTGCCAGCTCTAGGGAAAGGCTTTCTCTCTCTGGGCTCTGGAGGAAGTTCTTTTTCTCTTCTAAGGTTGTGTTCCTGGGTGATCTTCATGTGGCTTGTGTCTATCCTCTCCCATGTCTGTATCTTTGCTTGCTGGTTTAATCACTTTTATATCTCAAAAGAGATTGACTCAAGATACACCCTATGCTAATCCTACCAGGGCATAAAACAGGTTCATTCTGGTTCTACCCCCTGCTAAGAATTTGCATTTCCATCTCAGGTATACTGAATCAGAACCTACATTTTAACAAGATGTCAAGTGATTCTTACAAACACACAAGAATTCTTATACATTCCCAAGTGATTCCTAGGTGTACATGAGAATCTGTTCTGGTTACCTAGTGCCACTCTGACAAGCATATACCACAAATGGGATGGCTTTAACAAACACTAGTTTATTCTCTTACAGTTTGGAGGCTTTAAGCCAAGTTCAAAGTGCCAGGCTCTAGGGGCTGGGTGAAAGCCTCTTGACCTTGGTCTTCAGCTCTGCTTCTTGTTCCCAGCCTACTGAAGCTAGAGGCAGTTCTTCATTTAGGCAGCTACTAGCTGCTGAAGCTAACAACCCCAAGGTCAAGGGACTTTCACACAGTCCCTAGAGCCTGGCACTTTGAACTCAGACTTAAAGCCTCCAAACTGTAAGAGAATAAACTTCTGATTGTTAAAGCCATCCCATTTGTGGTATATATTCCTGTCAGAGCAGCACTAGGTAACCAGAACAGAATATGGTACTGAGAGAGTGGGGTGCTGCTCTGAAAGATACCTAAAATGTGGAAACAGGAGTGGAATGCATCCTTGACCCGAGACCCTGGCAGAGAGACCCTGGCATTCAGCCTGGGAGACGGCAAGAGCAGTGCCAAGAGACTGGCAGAGAGATACCAGCAGAGAGACCAGCATGAAAGACAACAGTAGCAGAGCCCAGAGACTGACATTAAACAGCAACAGGCTTACCAGCCCACAGAGGAGAAAGCCAGGTGCCATTGAGTAGCTGGTTTCCTGGTGCAGTGGGTTGCCTTCAGGCATTAATTGGTGAAGAGACCAGCACGAGATGGAGTAGCAGGTTGGCCGGCCCATGGAGCAAGAAAGCTAAGTGTCCTTTGGACAGAAAGATTGGGTTGCCCTCAGGCATTAATCAGCAGAAGCTGAGAGATTCAGCCCCAGAGGATAGGCCCGTGGTTTTTTGGGGTGGAATCACCATAGCTCCCTAGGTTTCAAAGAGTTAGACCTTCACCAACTTGGTTCTGGAGTGTGGGGCTGCTCGTTCATGTGGGCCAGTGGGATGGAGCCATAGCAGCTGCCCTAGAGTGAGGGGGCAGGGCTACCATGCCCAAGAGGGAGATGAAAGGGGCCTGCCAGACCAATGGGATGAGGTTGCCACTCAGGATCAAGGGGACTGGAGCCACCCAGTGAAGGAGATCTGTACAGATGCCATCCAATGAAGATCTGTACAGGTGCCAAGGTGACAAGGGGTGGAATTGTGGTAGTTAAATTTGTATGTCAACTTGGCTGGGCCTGGTTGAGTGGCTGGGCAGCTAGAGGTAGTCATTCCCCATGATGAGACTGACAATCAACTCCATGGTGTGATCTACCACAAGCAGCTGAGTAGCTGCCTTTGTGGTCTTCTTCCTGTACATAAGGAGAAGCCTTGGGGATAGTCTCTAGCTTATGGCATGCTTGGACCCTGCATGTAGTGGTGTCATTGTTCAGCAGCTAGCCATGCTCTGCTGACCTTGGGACTTACAATGGACTTGAATTAATGGTCTGTCATGTGGTTTGGTAACATCGGGAATGTGCCATGTTATTTGTCGGCCTTGGGCTTGTTAGACTCACCAGCCAGTAGCTGCCTGAATGAAGAGCTGCCTCTAGCTTCAGTGGACTGGGAGCAAGAGGCAGAGCTGAAGCCCAAGGTCAAGGGGCTTTCACACAGCCCCTAGAACCTGGCACTTTGAACTCAGACTTAAAGCCTCCAAACTGTAAGAGAATAAACTCCTGTTTGTTAAAGCTATTCCATTTGTGGTATATTCTTGTCAGAGTGGCACTACGTAACCAAAACAATTCCCAAGTGATTCCTATGTGTACATGAGAGTCACTTGAGGATCTTGTTAAAATGTAGATTCTGATTCAGTATATCTGAGGTGGAAATGCAAATTCTCAGCAGGGGGTTGAGCCAAAATGAACTGGCTCAAATCCCTGAATCCTGCTTCAGTAACAGCAAAGAAAACCTATTTTCTAGTGGGATTATTATCACAGGCATAGAGGTTAGGATTTACATCACATATTTATTGGGGACACAATTCAATCCATAACCATGGCAAATAGGTTTATACAAGTATAGTACAGAGCCACAA